CTCGGACCCTCATGGGTCTCCTGGGACTCGAGCCAGAAACACATTTGGATGAGCTCAGGAGAGCTGGAACCCAATAACAATGCTTCGCCGTGTTCCGTTGCGAGTAACTCTTGTGACGAGGAAGGGGCTTTTGACAGTAAAATTCATCATGTAGGAGGTGTATCATTAAGGGACAAATATGGGGGAGAGGGAGTTTTCAGAGTAGATTCTTTTTTTAAATTTTATTTTTTTTAACAAAGGATATTCAAAGTCCCATGGCCCGTCCCCACACTAGGGGACTGCTCCCTCAGCTCCCAGGGTGAGGAATTCACGCGTCCGCTTGTGCCTGTGGCTTTTCTGCCCTGCTTCGTTAGTGTTCTGCCTGGCTTCTCTCTGCCTCGCTGGTCCTTTTGCCAGTCCTTCACAAACACACAAAGCATCACAAAATAATAGCCAGCAAAATGTCAGCACCCACAAGTGTCTTGGCTGTAAGCTGCTGTTACTTCAACTTTCTGGTTTCTTAACCATCTTAATTTTCCCAGAACGGTTTGACAGAGCGTGGTGTTTCTCTTCAACTCACGAAACAAAATAAAAGCCTCTGATATGTTGGACCCTGCCACTTTCATCTCACCTCGTTATTCCCTCTTTTTTCCAATCTCTTAAAAAGGGTGGGCTTAACTGGCCAGCACCAGCCGTAGCCTCGTGACGGCTGGCGAAGAGTGGTTTGGCAATCCACAAGTGGCACATCAAAGACGGGAAGAGCATTCCCCTTTCTTTTCCTCACCTCCCCTTCTCAGCTTTGCATGAGCGAAGAAGGAACAAAACTGAATTTTCTCAGCTGCAGCTGAAATCTAGCACCTACAACTGACTTCTTCGCCCTCAATATGGGCATTTTCACCTAAGGGGTTTTTGCAAGCAGAATGAACAGATCAAGTTTTCTAAACGACTCAAAAGCAAATGAATCCACTGCAAGGAGGAAAGTGAAGGGCAAGTTCTGTGTTTAAACATGCTGACACTTGTACAGCCACTGTACCACTAACTAGTCTTGTCCCGTTCTGCTCCCACTTCCTTTAACCTTGACATTTACTTTCCTTAGGATGTTTAACAAAGATGCCACAAACTGACTGCTTAGTGCCACAACAATGCTGACAAAATCCCTCAAGCCTGTGAGTAATTCTACTGGAATGGAAGAGCCATCAAATTTACTGCAGTGTTACTATGGAATAAGCTATTGCAACAAAACACTCTTATATTGGTATGGTTACTTCCACAGGCTTTTTAAATAGCAGTAGTCACTCTAAAAATAATAATAAAAAAAAAAAAAAAAAAAAAAAAAAAAAAAAAAAAAAAAAACCCCTCCAAAGCCCTAGGTCTGCTGGAAAAACCTCTGTTTAGACACAGGCCCCAGCAATCTCCAACAAAACTTACAGTTATTTATGCGGCACTGGAAAAACAAACAGCAACACAAACTCCTTGCAGAGTTACCATAACAGCCTCTCCAAAGGTACACTGTACTTCATGCTGCAGACAGAGAAATTGGACAGATTAAACAGTGAAGTCATGTTACAATTTGTTATGTACAGTATCTTTATTTCATTTCTGAGATTGTTAAAAAACAATATAACATTCTTTCACTTAGCAAAGACATCCTTCCCACAGTTACCCTGCATAATCTTTTCCAAGAAATAAAACAGAAGCTTTGCACTCATGTCACAAAAATATTTTGAATAAAAATATAGTTTTGTATTTTACAACATGTTTAATCTGGAGCATTGAGCAAACTGGCAACAACATTTCATTCTAGAAACACAGTTAAAATCAAGAAACTAGTCTACAGGAGATATTGCATGTTAACATCCATCACGTGCAGACTCCGGTTGCTTTTCCGAAAATGAAATACCATCCTGCCCTGAACTGTCCGTGCAGCCTGACGATGCCGTCCCCTCTGCTCAAAGCCCTTGCTACGGTCGGTGTTTCTGCTGTAGATGCACAGATGGTGACGGGGAAGTGCCAGATCGTCACTCGCACGTGGGTATCGAGCGGAAGAAGTGCCCACGGCCCACAGCCGGACGGCAGGAGGTGATTACCGCATCCGTCTGCGTGAGCACATGGCAATTCTCCTTGGACAAGTACCTCATCTTTGCCTGTTCAAGGGCTTTTTTGTTGTTAGCGGAGGACGATTTTTTTCAAGAAGACCGACAAGAAACTCGCGCTGGCCCCCGATTACAGAAAATGAAGCAGATTCCCGAGGCAAAACCATACCATTATCTCCATCAGCCCAGCCTGTATTTTCCCTGGCCCGTCATCGTGCAATTCATTCGCCAAGAGCTACCCGTTGCCGTGCACAGGCAGCGCCGTGGGCAGACTGCTTAGGAGAAGACTTTGGCAACTGCTGGGCCCAGCTCGAGCCGGTCCCTGCTCCGCAGTGATATTTAAAGAGTCTTCTGAAGGGAATCGTGCCCAAGGCCGCGTTATTTCTATGGGCCACGGCACCATGAGTGGATGCAATCCTACAGCTTCATAGCAACAAATCCCAATTTACCTACAAATTAGATATCCAGCTGGTGCCATCTGCCTGTCGGTGGTTACATATCCCCCGGCCTCTGCGGGAAGAGCCTGCAGTGTCTCCTCCGTGCTTGGACCGCTGTTTCACGCGCTGCGCTGTGGCCGGGCCATTGCAGGGCTGCGACTCGCCGGACGGTGAACGGTTGGCCAAGTGTCAGGGTGCGGCGGGGCCCGCCGGGACGGCACCCCGCTCTTCTGGGCTTGCCCAGGCCCCCCAGATCCCCTCAAACCCAGGGGAGGCACGTACACTCGGCTTCTTGGAAAGATCAGCTCCGGACTCTTTGTTTTACCAACAGCAAAATAATTGTAACCTACGTGCATGCGCACACATACCGTACAAGTTAGGCATGACCAGGCTACAGTTTGTATTAAATGATTGTCACTTTCTGTTATGTACTGCGAAGGCATCTGACGACTGGAGTAATGCATTGCAAGGTGATTCGTTGCTATGCCATGGAGAAAGCCATTTGGCATTTCATACATTTAAGGAGAGGCTATTTCTTCATAATCCACACTACACCAGGCACCAATGCATAAATATACAGCATTTTAAAATTTGCTCTTATTCAGCAAGTCCTTTCAGGCTATAAATAATTTTTATATATGTTTTTAATACTTCATCAGTTTTTTACTCTGAATTTTTCACCTTAATCTCCATACCAAAATATACATTAGTACAAAGAGAGACCATTTTAAGACTGGAACTAGAGGACAAATATATTAATCGTTATGATAAGATACTCATTCTTTTCTATTTCTATAGATTATTTAAGAAAAAACAGAATCTTAAGTTACAAAATAAAATCCTATTATTTCATGTGAAAGTTTTAATTTACAGTACAGAATCACAGAGTATTCAGGCTGAAAGGAACCCTGGGAGTTCATTTACTCATCTACTAGTCATCTAGTAGATAAACATCACATTTAATACAGCATAATCAGCTTTAGTAGATAAATAATTCTTAATTAACACAGAGCATATTTCCTTCAAAATATTCTTTCCAGTGAGTGACATTATTCACACAGCAATAAAAATACAATTACAGCTGAAGGCGATGCAGGCCTAGAGATAGAGAGCAGAGAAAAATTACCTCACTGCTTTAGAGCGAGGACACTCCTAATATAGTGATTCACAAGGCAGGCAAAATAAGGTAGTGGGGTTTTCCATTCTCTGTTTCTACTAATAAACAATGTCGCTACTATTTCGCTAATTTATCTTGCTGAGAGAAAAATGAGAGGCCCTCTGAAGTTCAGGAATACTTTGGGATGAAATGTTGCCAGGGCCAGATCCAGTTGCTCAAAGGAGACCCTCCAGCCAACCTGGAAGAGGCTCAGAGCAACAGCTCCAAGATTTCAGACCCTGGCCAAAGCAGCAATAAACTGCTGGATCATTACACCAAAATGCTGGGATTTAAAAGTCTCCACACTCAACACTAAATGGTATACGGAGACCATCCTACTAAATTATCCACAAGCTTCCAGCAGGTAAGTAGCCGGGCAGCAGCGGAGTGTGCGCGACTTGCTGCGAGAAGTGCAGAAACGGGGTGCCCCAGCCCCAGCCCCCCGTGTCCGTGGGTACAGGGCGACAGGGGACAGGGTCAGGCACGCAGCTTCCTGACAGCCGGGACAGCAAAGACATCCCGGTTCCTGCTCTGTGGTTTTTTTTACTGAGCAAATCAAAGAGAAGCTCTTTCACCCTTCCCATCTCTTCCAATCAGATGGCATGACCCCTGCCATCCCTGGACATATCCCTGCTGTTTTCCCCACTGAGAAAGACACCGTTCCTTCAGCTGAAGTTCCCCGATGACATCCTGAAGTCAGGCGTAGCCATCAGCAACCTGCGGAGTAGTTCACTAATTTACCGAGAGCTCCCAGCAGCACCCACTCGTGTCCCCTTGCTCTTCCCTCTGCATCTGCTTTAGGAAAGGGGGTTGTCCTTTCCCTCAGCGCTGCTTTGTGCAATTCTCCTTCGTCTCTGCTCAGTCACGTTCCCTGCTCCAGTCAGGTGCTGGCTCTGATCAAGCAACATCAGCATTAAACCCTAATTTGGAAAAGTAAACCATTTAGTTTCTCCTCAGTCTTCCTTTGGAGAATTTGACATTCAGGCCCTTCCATCACTCCATGTCTTCAAAACATACTTTCACCTGTCCAACTCAGTGAGGCAAAACCAAGGAGGGGAAAGCATCTGCTCAACAAAAGGTCCCAGAGAAAGTTGTGAGATAACTCCAACCACAGGAATTAAGGACTGGTCATAAACCAAATGTACTAAACCAGAGAAAACGATTTCTGGAAGCCATATGCTAGCAGTCTCTTCTCAGTGTCAGTGTCCTGCAGTATCAGGCAATGTAAATGCCTTTCCAGTGCTGAAGCAATCACAACATTGTGCGCTCTTATTTCAGATTTCCCAAGAGGATGCAAGAGAAAGGGCAGCGAGTGATGTGTTCAAAGGGGCAGCTCTATTTATATCGTCTTTCTACCCTCTTGGAGTAGTAAGTAATGAAGCATATAGTAACAATAAAAGCCACAAATATGAAAGAGATAAAGGCTAATAATGATTTTCTGGTTCGGAAGAAGTGGCATTCAGGACACGAGGCAACCTCTTCTCGGCACAGCAGCTCAGGAGTTTCAGGACCAGGAAAACCATCATTGTCAATTATTTCTCTGTACTGTTTCAAAGAAGGCTTTGGTTCATATTGATTTGCAGTGTAACTGTAGAGACCATATTTAGGAGCAGTCTTGTCATTAAAAGAATAGACGAAATATCCTTGCAGGTTAACATTATCCAAGGTGTAAGCTGCGAAAGAAAACAAAGGGTTGAAGAAATGAATAAATGTCACCTTGGCATTCAAGAGCAGTACCATATGCCAGCACATAAAGCAGGGGCAGGGGATGTTAAGCCCACATCTGCACCTCTCTTCCCCAAAATAAGGTAAGGTACACGTACATCTATGAAGTGTTTCTCATAAAAAGTAAGAATCTGTCAGCCATTGCCAGACAGTGTGATCTGCAAGTATCCTGCAATTTATTTCCTTGTGCTTGGTAAACACAGCTGTGACTGCATGACTGTATTTAATGATCAGCATGGAGCCTATCGTGAAAAGATGGCTCTCTTTTTTTATGTATGAAAGAATACAGGTTTTGGTTTTCCTGCACCTGGACTTCTGCAACCTGTTTCTCTGATTGCTCCTTCTCCCTGGCAGAGCTCCTCCTGATGGGGACAGCCAAGGAACACAGGACATCACGCTGCACTTCTCACTAGCAAAGGCACAGTGACACCAGAAAAAGACGTGCCCACGCTAAGGTCACATACGGGGATATCACCTGTGCAAGTGGAAAGGTTATGCAAATCATAGTCCTCTCTTGTTATTGACCTGAGTTTCTGATCCAAGATGACCCGTATTATCTTTACTGAGAACATGTCCACAATTCATACTGCTAACTTGGCTACTGAAAGAGGTCCAGCAGCTGGAGAACTAACCCTGAGCCATCAGTCCCACTATACAAAACCAATCAATCCACAGTAGTAAACACAAACTGTAATACTTTATCTCTCAAAATCACTACTTGTAACAAATTAAAGCATCACCTTCTATCAGATGAACACAGGACTGAAAGCTAACAATTGCTGAATTTTATATGCCTCTGGAAATAATTCTTTCTGCAGGCACATGCAAGACATTTAGCACTTCTAACCTACTTTTCATGTGTAAAATGAAATAATATTTACCTGCCTTTTTACAGAGCTGCTACCCAGGATAATTAGTTTGTGTTTGTAAAACTGCATGTTGTGGATTTAATGGTGTTACATAAATGGTTACTGCTGGTTTTTGTTTTCAATTGGCAAAGATGTACTTAAACAGTGTACAAAGCACTTAAAAAATACAGCCTCAGTCCAAAGGGTCCCGTACTGTATTCTGGAATCATTTATCTGCACAAACCTGCTGGCTCTCCTCGAACAATGCAAGTGAGCAACATTACACGCACAAATCCTGCCACATGCAGTCCCTGAAACCAGCTGGAGGAAGAAGGCAGAATGGGAACTTTAAGGGGACAATGCCCATGTACCAAATCTCCTCTCCAGCATGACGCTGAGGTAAGGACATGAGATTTGTAACTCGTCTCAGTTACTGCACAGGGTCTTGCAGAAAAAATGCAAGTTTTGGAGAAACCCGAATCAGTCGTGATGCCAAGGTTAAGAGCTTGGTCCCTGTGTAAGGACAAGATGGACAAAAGCACAGTACCAGAGCGGGAGAAGAAAAGAGAATGAAAAAGCTGGTATTACTGATGGACCAAACACTATGGAGGAGTGTATGATGTCAAAAGGAGGAGAGTGAGCTTTAGGGCAAGTATTATGGCTAGTTAGCAGGGACATAGTCATCCATGACAAAGAAGGTGGAAAGATAGGAAGATACTTGATTGGGGGATACTGGTTCCAGATCAGTACGAATGACAAAGTTCTGTAAAAAACAGGGGGATGTGCAGGTGTTCTGGCTAACAGGAACTGGGAGAAAAGCCCATATCCATACATGTTTTGAAAACAGAAGTGCCAAGAACTGGTACGGTCTAAAGTGGCAGGAAGGAGAAAAGCAATACAAGGAAAAAAAAAAGATTGAAACCTTAAGCCCAAATACAGCCAAGATATGTTTTTTAACTACAGATGCAGAAAACATGCATCCAGTGCTTCAAAATGCTAGAGAAAGAACTCTTGGGCACTTAATATTGATGTTCAGCAATTTGTGAAAGAGGTGGAAATTAGAGGAGGAAGTTAAAGACAAAACTTAACAGAGTGGACAGGATGACCTAGCAAATTATGGAACTGCCAGCCATCCTTTGCTACCTAGCAAAAGAGTGGAATAGATTATGTAAGGTTGGATAAATAAAAATTACAGGAGATACATGTGATTAATGCCAATTAGCGTAGCTTTATGAAAAGTTTGCCAATAACACAAAGATTAGGGACATAATTTAGCTAGCGCAGCAAGCTTTGCACAAGCAAGCAACTGGCACTTGAACACGACCAAATGTGAGGATGTCAAAGAACAAGCAGACCGTACTTCAGCAGAGGGAGTTCTGCCTGGGGGCAGGAATCTGTAACCGAGTTTGAAATCTCTGTAGATAACCACAGAGTGTGTGTAACCAACCTGCTCCCGTGGCCAAAAGAGCTAATGGGCTGCTTAGATGTATGAAAGAGGAGTAAAAGGGTAAGAGGTTACGTTATACCTGCCTGAGATATAGGTGTGGCTGTGGTAGGAACAGCGTGTCCAGGTCTGGGTTTACCCTTCTCAAGAATGCTGGCAAACGGGAAAAAGTTTAATAATTGAAAGGTTCTAAATCATGTTTTATAGTAAGGGACACAAAGAGCTTTGTCTGTGTTATTTACCAAAGAGAGAAATGAGAGAGAGCTTGTTTTCAGTCTGTGAATACCTACACAGGTAAAATACATGGAAATGCACAACAAAATGGCTTAAGGCTGAAGCTAAAGAAATGAATATTAGAAATAAGAGTTATATATACCTATACACACGCTTATATATAAAAACAGTAAATAATTACCCACTGCAACAGCTTACAGTGAGATGTAGAAGATTCTTCATCAGTAAAAATTATCTCATTCGCATCTTGTGCGTTTCTTAAAAACCAGCATGTGTTGTATGACAGGATGACTCAAAATGCCTCCTTTTTGCCTCACAATTTATGAATCTTTGAGACAGAGGAAAAGACTGCTTTGGGTTCTGAATAGCAGGAAAGAGTCCAGGAAATGGCATAATGAGGTAGACAGCTCAATTATTATGAAGATCACTGCTGGATAAGATCACTGTTGGATAAGATACAGAGACAGCTGAGGAATAGAACTCATACCCAGCCCTGAGGCACATCAGTGGAGAGAAGCAACAAAGCAGAACAACAGTAGAAGTGCAGTAAGAAGAAAATCTGACTAAATCATGTGGAGCTACTCACGTAACATCTACTTAAATTTCTTGAATCCACAAAAAAGTTCTTCTGCTGTCTTATGCAGAATATGTGCAAGGTCAGTCTTCCTGATGTTTAGTAACACCAACCAATCGTAAATCAAAGGAAAAACTATCTGTTATGCTGTAATAACATCTCATTTATGGAGTATTCTGCATAGGATTTCTTTTTTTCAAAGTTAAACATACTCTGTAACACACTGCATACTAATACTGGGATTTGTGACATATAAACCATCTATGGTTCCTTACCTTTTAAAGCTTCATTGATGTAATTCTGTATGTAATACACTCTGAGCTTATCATACACCATATTCTGGCCATCGTCAATTCCATTAGCCATAACATAAATTGGGACATCGCCATACTTTGATTTAACCCACTTGAGCAATTTACGCAGTCCCCAGGGCACTACTGCAGCTCTGCCGGGGGAGTGCAGCCATGTGATGTCATTGATCATTTGAACTTCAAGATAGTGGTCATATTTTAGTGCATCTTCTTTCTCCCAGCCCACAAGGGTAGTAGTGTAGTGACTCAAGGCAAAAAAATCAAATGAGCCCTGGATTAACTTCTTCTCATCTTCTGAGAAATAAGGCAAGTGGAAATTATAGAGGTCAACACTATTTCTTCGGTGAAGCCATGCTCTCATCACCTGTGGGTAGTCACCATTCCCAAAGATGGGCTCTGCAAGCCAGCCAATGTCGAACTCTAAAATTCTGTCAGCAACTTCTTGGTCATTCCTGGAAAAGGGACAAGCTGGTTCTACCCAGTCGGCTTGCAGAGCTATAGATATTTTACCCTTCTGAGATCTCCTGAATTCTTTGTCATAGAGATGCCATGCTTTTGCATGGGCTTTCAGCAGGTTGTGACCTGCTGTGTATGTCAAGTTTTTCACAGACGGTTCATTCATTGTGATCCAAAATTTGACATGGTCCCCAAGACTTGTAAAGCAGAATTTGGCATACTCAACAAAAGCCTGAACAGTTTCTGGGTTTTCCCAAGCTCCACATTTGGCAAGGGAAACTGGAAGCTCTTGATTCTCAGCCATAGGTTGCCATAAAGCAACAACAGGAGTTATGTTAACTCTGAGAAGTTCACTAGCAAAACACTGATAATAATGTACAAGAGTGTGGTTGATTAGAGAAAGGTTACCTAAAGGAAGGATTAAAGACCATTTCAGTGAAAAATGGAAGTGTGTGACATGCATTTCTTGCAGAAGAGATATCTGGAGCCTGATAGCAGCAAAGTCAACACACTGACGCTTGCGTTTTGAGGTGAAAACTCCATCCACTTTAATAAGCTTCTTTGTCTGGTGAACATCCCACACATAAACATTAGAGTCAAGAAACTGGGCGGGTGTCGTGTCTACCTAGGTAGAATAAGAAACAGACCAGATTCAAGCTGTTTGTTCTAGGTAGGTGGGAACATCATAACCATCAGGCACAATGTAGTGAAAGAATATAGTAAGTCAAAACATTGCATTTAGCACCTCTCTCGCATCTCTGATACAATAACATCTCTGGCTCATATGAATGAATTAATTTTCTGTTAACATGTGATGTCAGAAAAATACCAAATCTATGTATCATTTTCATCCTACTTTCCAAACAAACTTATGTTAATGGTCACCATGTTTGTATCTTCTCCAGACTGCTCCAGCCTGTATGGGAAATAAGGGATTGCTCAGGGATAAGGCACTACGCCTGCAACAGATCTCCAGAGAAGCTGATATTCAGCAAACACTACAGTAATTTTTAAAATGTTTTTCTTTCAAGATTAAGAAGAGCCTACAGAGAGACTGTCTGTTGTAAATTACCCAGTAGATTCAGTTTCAAGACCACTCCCTGAATTCAATAAAAGAAATAACAAATGCAACATCATTTCTGTGTTCAGTTCTTTCCCTGACTATGATGAAAGATGAGTAATGCTCCGCACTTGATTTTTAGCATGAATTCAGTTGACAAGCAAAATTTTTCGTTCTTGCTAAAGACATCCTTTTTTATTTAACTCATACTGAACTCATTTCTAAGTTATTTCAGCAGGCTACTGATGTCTGAATCAATTTTTTTTCAGGCCTCCAAGTAAACCCACTATATGTCACTCCAAAAATAAATGCATTTCCCATATGTCTCTAGGGCTTCAGATGTCAGAATTGCCTATATGACATACTGACACAGTAGAAGATGAGTTTCTCAGGGTCCCGCAGAATTATACTTTAACTTTTTAATGAATATCACAAACACAATAAGGACTAGAAAATGGAAAAGTGAATTACTTAAAATAAAGCACAGTGTAAAATCTCCTCATTCATACTCTAATGTAACTCTTACAAGAAAGATCCAAACTACAGGATACTGGTACCACATGTGTTCATTTGTCCTTTTTTCCTTTTTTTTTTTCTTTGGTGCGCGGTTTCCCCTTGAGTTCAGATTTCCTTGTCCTGCCCTCTGTTTGAAAAGCAGGTGTCAGCCTACAACCAGTGTTCAACTTGTAGCTGAGGCTCTGCAGACTGTGTAAAGAAGCTGCTGAAAATCAGTTGCTATTTTCTCCGGAGAGGTCAGTACTGTGCTTATAGAAGAAAGTAATAAAAAACAGCATGTCTGAGGGAAATTGCTTTTCTGGAGAATTGTCCCTTGTAGATTACTAAAGCATGCATTGCCACTAATACTGTGGGAATGCTGTCAAAAGAGTTTTTCCACTGTGATGCATCTACAAATCACACTACCTAAGCCTTACAGCACAAAATGTTTCAATGGCCTTTTGAAATGAAAATATTCAACTTTGAAGGTTTTGGGGATGGGAGGGATTTTTTAACTGTCTTAGGCTGACAGACTCTGCAACTTTATACCTGTTATCGATCCCAAAGGCAGCAATTCCATTTCCAATCCCTAATCTACCTGGGAGCTAGGAGGATAATGACCGTTGAATTTTTTTGGAAATCAGTGTACCAGGTAAGGAGGCTGCAGTATTTTTCAAGAGAACAAAGTCAGATCTTATTTTGGAGTGAGAAAAAACAAACAAGCCCCCTATACTCTACCCTTAAGAACGACTCTGTCTTTGTGGAAAATATAAATTAAAAATTCTGTTCTTGGATCAAACCTCAGCTTTGAATTTAACTACACCTCTTTACTGTGGTTAAAGAAGCCATGCAAGCCAAAATAGCATCTGAGAATTACAGAGCCAAACTGTTAAAGAGACCGTAACTAAGCTACAAATTTTACTCATGCTATGAAGTCTTAAAATTTGAAAGATTCTCCCAAAGTATCAGATTTAGTTGAAATAAAGAGTGAGAGCTATGAACTGGATCCATGATCTAGCTAGGTGCTACCCAGGGGCACTGCAGGCCTCCATCAGACACAGTACTACACAAAATGACAAAGAAGGAATACAGAAGTTTCTTCTAAATCTAATATTGTTTACTTTTTTTTACACAAAAGCCCTCTAACAACAGTACAAGTATATATACACATAAGATGTAGAAACATGCCAGTGGAGTTTTAAGAGCTTTCAGGAAGTTTTCTAAACATATTATCACAGCAGACAAATATATTACCATTAAAATTATGGACATGAAAAAGCAGTAATATTTCCCATTTCATAGACTAGGACATTTAGAAATACACTTTAGCAGATCTAATCAACTTCCATTTGAAAAGGACTGACTTCCAGTAACTGTTCACATAACATGTCCAAGGAAGATGAGCATCAGACCCCTTTCAATTTCCGTATGTTTTTCTAAGATGTTCTTTATCGTATCTCAATCTGACTGTATCGCCTTGGTCACACGCAGAAAGGCTAGTAAAGACTGAGAGACACAGTGTTTGGCACAAAACCCTTGTACCCATCTCCTTGCAGCACTGTGGTAATATATATTGGCAAAGACACTCTATCCAGCAAATTTATCAATATGAGCTTGTGCACTGATCTGGCTGGACAGCCTGTCGGCTTTATCATCAGACTCACCTGAATGTAGTTGTCAACAATTCCCCAAGCAAAGCCACAGGGTAAAACACCTTCTATGGGCTGGTTTTCGGGCAAAGGTGGGAAGCCATTTTTTTCTATCAGCTTTTGATAGAACAAAACAGAAGATTTGGGCATCAACTTCTTGTCGTGGCTTTGAAAATCAACATAAAACAGTCCACGTCGAATGCTGTATCCCCTGTGCCATTCAAAGCCATCCAGGAGGGACCAGACTGTGTAGCCAAACACATTAACTCCGTCGTACCGGATGGCTGAGGAAAGAACAAAACCAAACTTATCGCAGTGCTCATTTTTCCTCTGTAGATTACACCGTATCAGCAATGTTTGCGGTATTCGTGTGCAAGAACAATGCAGTAGGTCAGATAAGTATCTCAGGGCCTGCCTCAAAGCCCGTTCAGGGAAGATATTTCAACGGCACTCAAGGAGCTGCTAGGTCACGGGTGCACTGTGCAAGGCAGTAGAGGTACCTGGCTTGGCTTTAAACAAGCCAGATTTAGAAAGAGAAGCAGTGCAGCAGTGGTTTGAGCAGTGCTGCTAATTAGGCGTGCCAAACAAACCTCAGCCTTGGAGCAGAGCACGCCAGAACTGTTTGCAGCAACTGAGCCAGTTACTGCACTGCACTGCACTCTGCTAAGCACGCACCACAGCTCACTCCGGGTAGCTTAAGTGCCATTAACGCAGCGCTACCCTGTATGCGAACAAAAGTCACACTCTTTTTTTCTCCTTCCCCTCCACTACAAACACATATTGAGGAAACCCTGACAACACTTTTGGTGCGCTGATGAATTTTTATTACCACAGATTTTAAGTACAAGCGATAACGCAGGAAGACCCTCTTTATTTGATAATTCTGTCTCTTTGTATCTTTTATAGCATAGCATTTTCCAGCTTAAATATTCAAGGGTTTCTAAAAATATGTGTATGTTCTAGGTCAACTGTTTGACTTTGAAGAATCACCACACACTCTGAAGGTTAGTATCAAGGTCTACTGGCATCTGTTAGTATTGCCAGCATTACAGTTTTATTTTAAGATTCCAAAGGATACTCACTTTTAGTTGTATTAAACACTGAGATTCAGCAAAATGTTCCTGGGCAAGGCTCAGCTTCAGGAAAGCACAAAGGAGTGTGCTTATTTTAATTACATAATTAGACACACCCTAATTCAGCAATGCATTTAAGTGCATTCTTAAAAGTTCTTTTGAACTTGAGTTTGGCTCTGTAGCCAGCAGAGTTTATCTTTATTACTCACCATCTTCTGTCAACTCAAACTGGGTACTGACTGAACATAGTATTTTCCAGCCTACTAACACTGAAAGCGTTATTTCAGGCAACCAGAATATCAAGATCCTAATTTCCTGGTTTTATTAATGTACCTCATTACAATCAGTTATGAAGGACCACATGGATTCTTGATTATAACCCTGTTTGAATCAATTAAATGAACTGCGGTTAAATAAGCAATGAATTTGGCCCAGTCTCTACCAGAGGTCATGAGAAAATGTCTAAGGAAATGTAATATTTCTCCTCCTGAAGGCATAATTCTTTTGTGTTTGGCAAATGCCAGTATTTTTCTAACCTCTGCATGGATCCATGACGACATCTGTCATACCAGCAGTGTAAAAGCCAATACAGGTCCACTTTGTGAACTGGTCTCAGTGAGAATTTCTCTTTGAACGGCATCTCACCCCTTCTGTAAGTCATCACACAGCACTCCCACACTTCTGAGCACCTCATAAAAATTTCTCCTCAAATCCTGCTTTAAAAATGTATTAACTTTTAAGGGTCACCTATGAAAGAAGCAACTTGAAAAATTTTTGGAAGTTCCAAAAAGTTTAGAAGTCTCAAACACAGTAGCCCACACGGATGGTGCCTGTTACTGAAAACCACAATGAAAATTATTGTCTTTTTTTTTTCCCATTGTATATTTCCCCTCTTTTTTATGTCTGTTGGTGTGCAAGACAGACTGACTGAAACCTAAACTGTCCTTGCTTCTGAAACTGAGTGGGTTTGTCCATACTACCTACTAGAAATAACTCCTGACCCGAGCAATCCCCTACAGTGTGCCTAGAAGTGTGCTACTGTGCAGGCAAGAACTCTGCCAGAACTGGGTTAAAAATTAAACAGCAGTTCAGCTCACGCTCTGTTTAGCTCACTAGTATACAGATAGTCCAAGGAAACATGGCAGAGCCGTAGCATCAAATACAGATCCTTAAAACCCTCTGCTCAGCTGCTGTCCAACCCCAGGGCGTGAAGGTGAGGTGTGAAGCTTGCAGCCCCTGTTTCCATGTGGAAGGTGCCCAGGGATCTATGTTTTGCCTCTGGACGTACGGAGAATAGCTCAGTCCTGACCTGTCAGGGACCTGGCTGTTCTCCTTAACTCTTTGAATTCAGACCTACTAACTCCCCAGATGATGACCTAGTCCCTCCGCTAGTCAACATGGCACAGAGGAGCTCGCATGCCCTCCTGGTCAACATGCTCCACTTCACAAGGAACAATCAATTTATTTGTTGCACCAGAGACAGAGCAGGAAAGTGAATATGACCCTACAGAAAGTGGTTAGATACCCACCCATGTAAGAAGACATCTCCAACCAATTAGCAGCTCTAATTAATATTTAACTACTTTATATTACAGCTCTATTTACTCTATTCAACCCTAAATGGTATTTGGGGAAAAAAAAAAAGAAAGATCAATAATAGTAAACAGTAAAAAGATTTAGGGCTGTGAATCCCAAATAAAGACATCCTTTCCAAGAGCCAAAAAAGAAAAAAAAAAAGATGTACGGAGCTTGTCTACAGCATGCAGTGTCAGAATAGATATCTACATCAGCACTTCAACTGAAATCGGGAGCACACACAAATCTCCCTCATTCCCTTATCACACTTTGGTTCACATCACAGAGTGGTCTCAGGTTGCATGACCTGGGTTCCTTTGGGGTAAAATTAATCCAGAAATGGGCTTCAGGAATGCACACATGTACACCAAGCCCTCAACACCAACTCTTTTTACTCTACAGGCTTGCTCCAACAGGGCTGCACTTACTTGTTAACGCAGATATAGAAATAAGCAGTTTTGTCTGAACCAGTGCATATACACAATCAGGTAAAGATACTGGCCAGATCTAAGAAGCAGCAAAACCACATTTATGTGGCCCTGGGTCTAAATTAATTATTCTTGCTTCTCACTGCTATAGCTCCAAAGCCATTTTACTGCCCTGTGACTGCTGGAGTGAATCTTGCGGTAAATAGCTCACGAATCTCTACATTACAATGCTTTATTGCACTGGCTAGACGTGTCCGAAAGTCTCTGAGAGAGACAGCGTGTGCCTTTGTCTTTGGTCTTTAATGTTGTCCAACAAGACTGCTCAGAGCCAACATGATGCCTTTTGTGGATCTTTCTCAACTAAATTCCCCTAGGTATTGCATAGAGGACTTCAATATTTACGTTGGATTTTGCAGATTCTAACAGCAGGAGATTTGGGTGCAATAATTTCCATCATAATGATGCCAATCTGCTGATCCAGTCTGTCTCTGCGCCTCTTTTTTTTTCTGTAGAAGTTTAGCCAAGTGCTAGGATTCTTAAGTTAATATGACAAGACTGTCATACTGTTGTTGTTTTGTTATTATTTACTGAGTGGCACATTAGAAGGAAAGAAACTCTGTAAATTGAGATTGTTTCCAGCTAGCTGTGATGAAAAGGCAGATCCATGTATGTATGCCCAGCAATTTACAAACTAAGGAGAAATATGGGTAACAGGAATATGACCCCTTTGTGAAGATGAGCTCTTCATCTGACTTCATGCAAACAAGTAATACTCTAAATGCAACAGTTAGTAACTGTTCTGCATTCCATTCTTCCCATTTTGGATGCACTGGCTCACGCATTTATTCACCTTGTAATTTACTTGCAGAATTAAGTTTCTGGAATAGCAGATGAAACAAATGTGGGAATCTTCTGCATCTTCATGAGTGCTGAGATTAAAACGAAAGCCATTTTTGCTCATCCCTTTTATGAAAATGGCAATGTAACACAATGGCTATCTTGTCTGAACTGATAGCTACAATAATACTGTTTTTAAAACCAGAACAGTAAACTGTAGACAAGTAAATCAATTATTAAACTGTAAATTAAGAAACTAAAAGACAGTGAAGTGGAAATGGGAACCCCAACAACTTATTGGTGACTACTAGGATTGAAAAAAATCTGTTTTGCCACAAGGAAATGGGAAAATAGAAAAGAATTCTCACATAAGGTAGTGTATTTCTCTTACTGTTTGGAAAAAAATAATAGGTTAACAATTTAAATAATTTAGATTATATAATCTCAAACATTCAGTTCTCTTTAAAGTGATGTAAATTCAGATTATTGTGATTGATGTCCAGAGCTGAACCAATGTAAAATTTGTACAAGGGCAACACTGAGATGCAGAATGAAAGGGTTCCAATTCTTCATTTAAAAATGTATTCTTTCAGCCTTACGTTTTCTTCAGCAGAACTCTTATTGCATAATATTTACCTTCCCACATATATATTCTCAAGTTTTGTATGTATGCATTCATATATCTTCAGATATGGAAAACAACTATTAATAAGTAACACAGTAAATTAAGAGCATAGTTCACACCTTTTGCACTTCCTCCCACCAAAGACAACAGAAATTTTCCTACTGATTTCAAAGACAGCCGCATCAAGCTCACTAAATGCTATCTGCCGATATTAAGGGTCTTCAAGAGCTGAAAAGAACAAACCCAGGAAAGGGATTTGGAGTCTCATTTCACAAGTGCCAAGATGAATGTTAGACGAATGTAAAATTAGTTTTCAGCCTGGTTCTTCAACATGTCTCTGTAGGCTATTTTGCATTATGATTTTGTCAAGCACATATTAATATAACCTCAGTCCTACCTTTTAAAGTTTCCATAATGAATTTTTTGAGATAGTAAATATATTTGGCATCATCTCTCTTGGTGCTACCAGAAACAAACCAGCTGTTCTCCACAATGAATATTTGGGGGTTGTTATATTCACTGCTTATCCAGTAAAGGAGCTGCCTCAGGCTTATTGATTCCAGCTGCTGGAATTTCATGTGGGAGTCCAAAAGCTGGAAACTCAGGGTAGCTCCAAAAGACAGAGCAAAAAAGTCTGCTGTTCCCTTGATAAACTTCTTCTCAACTTCACTGAATTCGGGCAACAGAGATGAGAGGTTGCTTCTCATGCTCTCTGGATAGTCACCATCAATAAATATGGGCTTAGCAAACCAGCCGAGCACAAAATCAAGGGATTTTTGACATTCTTTTATGTCTTTTTCAGTCATACGTTGAGGTTTTATCCAGTGGGAGCTAAGGGCAATGGACACTTTTCCTCTTTGAGTTGGACGAAAATGGTCATTGTAGAGATGCCAGACTTCAGCATGGGCCTGTTGAAAAGAAACACTAATTAATACACCTGAAATTCCATCTTAAGTAACACAATTCATCTCAAGTACTCATGTCCAGTAACATGTAGTAACCACATAAACACAGCATGTGAGGGCTCAGCCTTAATTCATTCACCAGCAGATTACAACGTTTTTAATTAACTTTTCTTTAATACCATATATCAGCTAGAAATTGCTAGTTGGTTGGGGAAAACAGCATCTCAGTTTTCCATGAGATACTATTCCAAGACACTGAACACACTTCGAGTTAGACACCTTTATTAACTTTTACTACTGAGTTCAGACATACTTCCAGTATTTACAAAAATGAAAATGCATTTAACTGAACATGTTTCAAAGTATATTTTCATTACAGGAATATCACTTTATCTGTAGATTCACAGATCTATAAAGAAGGAAGGTCTATTCTTAAGAACTGCCCAGATCTCTCAAACGATACAAGACAAAGAAATACCCTTGAACTTATTCCTCTTTGGTCCAGAACATACAGTATAGGAAAAACTACCAATCTGGATTTAAGAAAGTCTGGTGAAAAACAATCTACCATAGCTCCTGAAAATTTATTCCAATAATTCAATTTGATTTGTTTTATTAAAATGTGCTATTTACCTGTAGCATCAGATTTCAATCACTTGTCTTGGTATAATTTTATCTGTTACTGTGAGGAGATCTTTTCTACCAAATTTCTTTCCCGTGATCTTACAGAGTCAGTTGAAACAGCCTCTTGATGTTCCCTCTGAAAGCTAAATAGATTAAGTTCCTGGAGCCTTGCATTATCTTCAGGCATAGCTTCAAGCTATCTAATCATTCTCACTGCTCTCCTCTGATTCTCTTCCAATTTGTCATCATCTGTCTTAAACTGTAGAAGCAGAATTAGACATAATATGCCAGTGGTAGTCTTGCCAGCAGTAAAACCAGAGACAATTTAATACGGTATTTCTGCTTATGTGGCCATAGCATTACACTACGAGCATATGCTCACCTAAACTACCGTATCTCCAGAGCCCTTCACCATCTAAAATGTATTTTTTCTTTGCACTTAGCTTATCAAAGAATTCTGACTGCTCTATGAATCAACATCCCATCTTTTTGTCATCTACACAGTGTAGAAATTGTAATGCTTTTTTCTAGGTCATTGATAAAAAGGTAAAAAATATGAGATCTATTCATTAGAATAAAGCCTACCTAATAACTATTCCCAGTTTACATTTGCATTTTAAGACTTATCAGCTAGTATTTGTTCATATGTGCTGTGATGACAAGAACCTCCATTCTTGCCATACAGTCACAGGTGTGATGAATATATATGACAGATTATTAATCAAAATGTCACAAGCATTTCTAGCCCTCCCTGGAATATAAGCCATATAGAAAGCCTTATAATTCCACTCCATGCAGTTGGTATGTTGGCAATTTTATCAGTAATTTATTGATAGCTGCTGTTCACAGTTTCCTTTTCACACACTCTTACCATTCAAGCTTTGAACCACAATGATTTCCAGTTGACAGCATTACTAGGAACATTAAGCAATTAAGATTATTAATCATTTTTGACACACACACCATTAATTACCCAGGAAAAATAATGAATTCTATCATTCTACTGTTCTTGCAGAATTTTAATTCTCACTGCTGGGAGAAAAACAATTGGAAGTGAAGGACAACTAAAGGTAAGATCAATAATCAAGACTCGGTTCAGCTGCCCCCATACAAAAACCTGCTGCTTTTGAATCACCATCGGGTATATAAAACACCTGTACAGACCTGACACCAGCTCTAGAGGAGACTAGGCCCATGCCCTTTTAGAGTGGTCACCAAAACACAAAGAGAACAATCTCGGAAACTGTGAATCACAGTACACACCTATGTGCGTGTGCCTGAATCAAGCTCTCAGTTGCAAACTTCAGCATACATGCTCTCATTTATAATACATCAATAGCTCAAATAAATGTGATGCAGTCCTACCAGCTGTCTATACTAATACAAGGGATTTTGATGCTAGTGAGAAACTAAATATAGTAACCACTTTAAAGTCTCATGTCAAAAATGAGAGCTGACCTAAGCACAGACTTAATTTTACTTCACACTGAAGCTCTATTACGCTGATGAAAGAACAAAAGACATTATGCATCATGACCAAAACGCTACACACCCAACGCTTTAAATACGTTTTTAAAATACCATTGGGAACAAATGTGCCACCACTTGCAACTCAAATTTGCACACCCAAATTTTCACTCATAAAGGAGCCATATATTCTTCCTCTGTTGGACCTGACTCATCTCCAGATTTCCTGTCTCAAATGTTAAGATACCACCATGCACACTCTTGAACACACAATTTCATCTCTGTCATCTGCACTTGCAAGTATGCTGCCCACCCAGAGAGCACCTCGAGTGCTGTGGAGGATTTGCCCCATGACCCTCGGCCCTCCCTATTCCTGTCAGTGGAGAAAGATCTTCCAGCATTTTAGTAGCTTTGATTCTACCAGGAAGAAAGGAGGAAAGGAATCCCACAGGTTATCCCTCTACACAGATAAGGAGGTGCTGTTTACTCTCTCACTGCAATGAAAAAACAGGAAAAGTAGCTATGTGGGGTTATCTCACGCTACTTTCTAAGCAAGTCATCTAGTCTGCCTCTATAGAAAATGAGAAGACTGTTGTCTAAGATACACAGGGTGAGTCACTCTTCAGGAGTCCATCTCTTTCCACTGATGACAGACAAAACCTGTTACTCAGTTTAGACAACACATCTTCTACAGAGAGATGAAAGCAGGCGAGAAGAAGCCCACTTAAATGTCTGCCCTCTGGAGTGTGTATGAAGTGGAATTGTATTATTTCCATAAAAAAACAGCTAAACATAGAAAACAGTGCATCAAAGTCCCCAGGCTCTGTGGACATAGATTAATGTAGTTCAAAACCAGATAGAAATAAAGCTGGAAGAAGCCAGTGAGAGAGCAGAGAGTCTCTATGGAGATCTGTGACAGAATTAATTTGCCTAAAATTAGGTGTCTAATGCAGTTTTAGAGACTTCAGAGTATTCCAGCCTGAATTCCAGCCAGTTTCAGAAAGTCCAGTCTCCCATAAATCCTAAGTCACATCTCTCAGCTCCACAGAGACACCTGGGATACTACAGAATGTGTCGAATGATAATTTGCACCTATACCTGTCTTCAGGCAAATGAACCCCACTCCTAGGGTGGGACTCATTTTGAGCTGAAGACACTTCATATTTCACTGTCCACATGTGAGCTAGATGCCCAAGATCCCACTACAGGCAATGGAGATCTCAGGCTCCACACAGCTGCCTGAACACAGGCATCTAGTTTCCACCCCAGAACAATAGAGGCTTAGGTCACATCTGCCTTTTCCATGCAGATGTCCTAAATAGCCTGGGAAGTCTCATATGGCACTACTTATACCAAGCTAATGGAATCCCATTCCAATTCAATCTTCTCAATGGAGTCTAGCGAGTGATTCCCCAGTACAGTACAGCAGCCATACCGTCACACTCAGCAGGACCACTACCTAGGTCCCATAACTGTATGGATTAGCGGTAGGATTTAATGTAGGTGCCCAGACCTTTTTGAGAAGCCTTACCTGATGAGGCTGGCAGACATGATTCAGGACCCAATGGGAGACCGTGGTCTTCTGGAGCAGCAAGTGGAGGCCAGGCAGAATATCCTAGGGTAGCTCAAGTGACACTATACCTCTGCTGGGACAAATGACACCTTCTAGATGTCTATTACCTAGAAACTGCAGTTTAGCCTCCCAGATCATGTGCAGAAGAAACAAATAGGAACCAACCTACCATCAGTTCCTTTATAGTTACCTGAAATCTTCCCAATCTCAGTGACTTACCTATTGGTACCTATTTTTAGTTCACAGCTGACTGGGATTAAGATCGTGGCAGTCCACAGTTCAGTCCTTTTACTGACATACAGCGCAATGACTCCATGTCCCTGGTTTTGCAAGGTGCTGAAGGGTCTTACTTCATTCCTTGTTAGCTCAGACGGTTGTGCAGTGCTGACAGATCACTTGGCTTAACTGGAAAACCTTACTAAAAAAGGCTGGTTACAAACCAGGTCTAGGAAGGGTTGTGCAGTCACTCATGTGTTATGAGCAGAACTAACTGCTAAAACCTGTGTGCTTGTTTCCAGGCTGCTAAATTTGGGTAGTCTTGTCATTATTATTTGCATTCAGAGAGTAGCACATATTGTTAGATACCGAACACTTGACTGACACCTTTTTGGGAGATACTACCCTGTATTATTGAACCTGCTGAGACTTGAGCTAAGCTGGTATTGGGAAAGCTGCAGATTAGGATGGGTGTTCTCTGTGCTTACTAGTGTTTATTCTTCAGGAACAGACTGTCAGGAAAGCTTTTAAACAGCATTTACCTTACCCTTAAGATGCTTTCATTACTAAGAAAATCACAAAGTTTTACATCACCATGAAAATGAAAAAAAGGCTCCAGATGTAGCTTGTCCTCAGCTATGCCCATTTGTATGTCTGTACTTCAGTCATGTTTCAGGCTCTGATACAGTCCCATTTTCAAGTTGATACGTTCTTCTTCCCCTGACTTTCCCACCCAATATATCTATTTGGACCACACTCTACTATACTCAATTCGTGAAACTCTTTGACGTTGGTCATTGATCAGCCTTAAAGAGATCTCTGCGTGACTCAAAGTCAAATGCCAAAATTGAGCCTTGATGAAGTGTCAAACACGTTTCCAAGGCAGAAAAGCCCCCTGCAATGCCATAGCATGGGCTAGTCATACAAAGTCCAAATTCCTGCAGTGACAGCAGAAATAATTCAACACAGGCAAACCAGCTACACAATCTGACTCAGTCATGTCCTACTCTGTTGCAGGACAGACCTACACAGTCCAAGAATCATTAGGTGAAGCCAATTTAGTAATATACAGACGTTTGTTTGCCTGACTACCCCTCTAAATTCCTGCCCAAGATCATTAAGA